ATTTCCATTATATGCAAGGCATTATTGATTGAAAATTAATATATTAACAAAGTCTAACCAGCACTCCCTGGATATATGGCTTTTGCAAAAATGAAAATGGACATGTTTCTCCCTTACCCACTTGGCAAGTCACTACGTAAGGCATGGTGCGGCGTTATCTAATATTATAACAAACATCCTTCACTTGCATTGCATGCGAGCTTTTGATGGCAATGGCTGTTACAAAGTGATAGGTGCCTTGTCATATCTGATTTATCAAATCATGATGTCATTACTCTGCTAAATAATCAAAGGACCCTTTTTAACTCGTAAATGGGCTTTCTATTCATCTTATGGGCTTTAGGCCCAAATATTTGCAAACACCGTCAACGGCTTTTTCACAGAGCATGGTGAAGCATGTATTGAATTGAAGCAGCCGCTATTATTATTAGAGCATTTCCACCCGTTGGATTTGCTAGGGCAAAAGGCTCCCCAGCTTCAAAAACACTCTCCAGTGATCATATTCAGCATGCATGGGCAGATCGTGTAACTACACTCTTGCCGACATCTCACAAATTATGACTCTTCTATATTTCAAACCAAATAAGTACATCAGTAGCACTATATGTACCTGGACGCTTCTCCGTTGCGAAGTCCAACAATGCGGATTCGTTACAGAATTGAATTTTTGACCATGCAATTCTCATCCTGAGTTCACTCTTCTCTCTCTCCTCTATCCTCTTTCTATTTTTTCTTTCCTTTCCTTCTCTCCTCTCTTTCTTTTTTTGTTTCTTCTTTCTCTTGTCATCTGGTGATTTTTTTCTTCTTCTCTCTTCTGGCTAGTTGGCTTTTTTATTTTTTTCTTTCTCTCCGACAACACCAATTTTTTCCTTCAACTCAGGATGAGAATCGCACGGTCAAAAATTCAATTCCATAACGGTTAAAAATTCAATTCCATAACGAATCCGTATTGTTTGACTTCGAAACGGAGAAGCACCCAGGTACATAGTGCTACTGATGTGCGTGTATATACACACACGCGCTACATTCAATTGGTTACATTTCCCATTGTTTTAAGTCATAGGTTTTGAAAAATGAAACACATGACAACCGACAACATGGACGAGTTGCTTATATATAAATAAGCAGCAGCAGCGGACGTGAAGGTTTTAATTACTGATGAGTAGGTAGGTACTGGTCAGGATAGAGAGAAGAGAGAGAGATGGAGGTGAACCAAATACTTCACATGAACAAGGGAGACGGCGAGACTAGTTATGCTCAAAACTCCCAAGTGCAGGTACAAATTAATTAAACAGAATTATTATATTATTGGCTTTCCATCTTTAATTCATTAACTTCTTAGCTCCTCAATCCATATTATTATGATCATTTCATTATAATTCAATTTTATTTTTGTAGGGCAAAATATTATCGGTTGCAAAGCCAATCATTCATGAAGCCGTGCTAGAAATATTGAGCTCAAATAATATAGAGAGCATGGGGATTGCCGATTTGGGTTGCTCATCTGGACCCAACACCTTACCGCCCATCTCCTACATCGTGGATGCCATACATGCGAAACGCAGCGGCCTCGGCCTCCAACTGTCCCCATCATCAACAACAGAGTTCAGAGTGTACCTCAATGACCTCTTCAGCAACGACTTCAACGTCATTTTTATGACACTCCCTGCATTCTACAACAACTTGAAACAAGAGAAAGGTCCTGAATTTGGGTCGGTCTTTGTTTCTGCCGTGCCCGGTTCGTTTCACGGTAGGTTGTTTCCGGCCAAGACTTTGCATTTTGTGCACTCTTCTTGTAGTATCCACTGGCTCTCTCGGGTCCCCCCTGCCCTCAGCAACACCCCGGAGGAGGCAGCTGGCTCGGCCTTGAACAAGGGAAAGATTTACATTTCTAAGACCAGCCCTCAATGCGTTTTGGACGCATATTCACTTCAGTTTCACGAAGACTTTTCATCATTTCTCAAGTCCCGCGCTGAAGAAGTAGTTGGCGGAGGACGAATGGTGTTGTCACTCATTGGCAGGCCCAGGGGCGGCCCTGGGCGCAAGTGGCGCCACTGCACAGGGCCCCGATTCTTGAGGGCACCGAAAAAAAATTTCTTTATATTATATATATATTATTATTATAAGAAATGTATATATACTATAGCATGCTAATTGTTTGCATAAAAGCGTATGTGGTCGAGTTGGCTTTCTAGCGCGCCTCTACTTAACAGAGCCAGAGTTCGATTCTTATTGAAGTAAA